CACCAGCATCCTCTTGCTATGAGTTATGCACTAACTTTTACATAACTTGCAATAGCTATTATTAATAGTTGTTACAGAGCTACTCCAAGTTCTGTAATAACAACCAGGCACCACACAGATGCAGATGAATCATACTGTAACTGTCACATGCATGCAGCCAGGCATGTCAGCTATCCCCAGTCTAGTAGAGTTCGTGCAGGGCTGGCCACTGGGGTCAGAGAAGGGGAGCATGTAGAGAAAGCAAGGGTGGTTTTTGGGCTTTATTCTCAGCACTACTGGCAGTTCAATCATGCACAAATAACCTTCTTTAGTTGGCATTTTCCAAGATACTGGAGAAAAGAAACCACTTTTTCCACGAACCGTTACCAGCCAGGTCCAGGTCGGTTCTGGCCTTGCACAATAAATCTATCACTGGTTTTGTAAAAGAGAAAATATTTAACCACAAGGCCATCAGGCAAGGAGGCAGGAGAATAGCTCTCAAATCCACCTCCTCGAAGATAAGGCTTAGGCATCTTTATGGGGTAGGGAAGTGGGGTGGGCTAAGAATAGGGAAAGGTGATTGGCATTGGGGAAAAATGAAGTATCAGGTTTGTTCTGCAGAATCTTAGGGTTCATGGCATTCCACAGGACACATGTGCAGAAAATGGTGGCATTAACATGATCCGAGGATGGAGGTTTTGGCCCTCTGATGTCAAAAGGCCATCTCTTGGCACTTGCACAGGCCAAGTTGAAAGGTCGATCATCTCAACTGGTTTGAACTGGACAGGAGCTGGTCCAAGTTCCTGAAAAACAACTGCAATGACCATGGTGACTATGAAAGTTAAGTTTCAGCATTTAGCAGTGCAGCCTTCAGCTTTATGGAAAAAGGGGGGAAAAAAAGGCAAGCAACCAAGAGCACGCAGGACAGGCAAACCTGATTAAATTAACCCCTTGCTTTCAGAACTTTTGACCTAAAGGTAGGACAAAGCATTGGTTTGGGCCTTGAATAAGAGACTGGTTTCCTAGCAACCTGATCCAGAATGTAATTTCAGGAGAAAAAAACTCCTTCTGGTAAAAAAAAAAAAAAAAAAAAAAAAAATCTCCTTACTGTTTCAACTATTAAAAATCATATCACATTATGACCCTTGGGAAATTCAGTTCACTTCTAAGAAAAAGCCAAATCAAAAAGCAAAAGAAACAGATGAAATATTATATTAGATACGGGTCCAGTGGAAAAGAATACACATTGGAGAAATAGACCCAAATCATTTCCATTGATTTAAATTTTTTCATTGTTTTGCATCAAACATCATCAAAATCCTAAAGACAAACTTGGAAAGACATTTGGAAATGTCCTTGGCAGTACTACTTGGTATCAAGGTAAGAATAATGCATTTTCTTGAAGATGGATCTATATTTGGAACAGATTTCATATTGTTGATGCATCTACTTTCATCCATTGAATTGTGTTGGAAAAGGTTTTAACAGCTGTAAAAACCCCACCAGTAAAAGAAAAGGAAAACATGGATTTTTCTAGACACAGTATCTCTGTGACTTACTGAGTTTTGGATTAGCCCATGTGTTAGTTTTCTATGGCTGCATGGCAAATTACCACAAACCTAGACACTTAAAAGAACACAAATTTATTATCTCACAGTTTCCATGGGTTAGGAGTCCAGAATGTACTGAACCTTGAGTTCTCAGCTCAGGGTCCTACAAGGCTGAGATCAAGGTGCCAGCCAGCTGCAACCTCATCTGGAGGCTCGACTAGGGAAATGTCTGCTTCCAAGCACCTTCAGTGTGTTGGCGACATTCATTTCCTTATTTCCTTGAGACCATTTGACTAAATTCCCCTTTTTCTTGGCAACGGACAACAGGAGGCTGCTCTCAGCAACCAGAGACCACTCTCAGGTCCTTACCATGTGGCCAATCATAGTCAGTTCACATGACAGTTTACTCTTAAAAGCCAGCAGGAGAATCTCTCTCCCACTTCAAATTTCTTTTTTTCTTTTAAGGAGTCACCTGCTTAGGTCAGGCCCACCCAAGATAATCTCCCTTTTTGTTAACCGAATGTCAACTGCTTGGGGACCTTAATCACATTTGCAA